ATATGACTATGTGATTAAATTATTTCATAGTGGGCTCTATCTCTAAACCCAAACGGAACTCTTAAGAAAAATAGTTTTTAATTTAACTAAACAACTTTTTGGATATTGTTAGGCGAAAGTTGCTTCCTTTCAAAAACTTTGGAGCACATAATGCCCATGCCCATGCCCGTAATTCATTATAGTGGTCCACTGTTGCTTGCATTGTATTGTGAGTTGTATTGATAAGGACTTAGACATATTGCTGCTGGATGCTAAAACGAAATTCTATTTTAACATTTTGTTCAACGATAAGGTCGTCCATGTGTTGCTTGGAAACAAAAACGTTACGCTAGACAGCATTCCAAATTAATCTTATATATGAATATACATACATGTATTTGAAGCTGTGGATGTAGATGTAGATGCATACATACATTGTACTAGACTCTTTAGACATAGACGAACAGTGCTACAAAAGGGTTGTTCACTTCTATGGAAAGTGGTACCATAGATCTAAATAACATATAATTTATAGCTTATATATCTTTATACAGAAATTTATTATTTTAGGGTAATTTATGCTAGAGTCTGCTGTTAAATAACGCTGACAAGATAAAGATTGTAAAGATTGTTTATCGAATGTTAATACTTAATACTTAAATAATTAAATAATTGAATAGCTCAAGATTTGTTATCCATTGTTCGTCTAGTGAGTCGCACTGATTGCCCGTCTGTTCCATAAAACGGTAAAACCATTAAGATATTTTCATTTATCGAGCGTTCACCTTGTGAATCACATTAACGGCTCTTCTCAATAAGAGGTCAATAGAAACTAACTGTAGATATTTAAATAAAGGTATTCTGATAGTGCTTCTATCTAGTGGCCGTTCTTGCTTATCGAAAATCCTGGCCATTTATCGATAATTCACTTCACTGAAACTATATAAGAGTATTGTAAAACCATTAAGAAACTATCGACTGTCAATGGTTCGTCTAACTTGGCCGAACTTGCATGCCTTTAAGGTCAGGTTTCAGCTCATTTAACAAATAAGAAATGAAAGAAATTCCGAGTTGCAGCCGAAATCAACAAAGAAGATGAAGAAACTAACTGAAGACGTTTCAGCATTCAATTAGCCAAGACCAGACTTGGTCTACAATTTCTTCCTCATTTTCTTAGCTTTTTTTTGGTCAGTTTTTGGTAACATGCAGAAATGAAAACTAAAGAAATACAGAAAAATTATTACCTTGGCTTGACGAAAGCTTACAGCCAAAAGAAAAAAAAGGCAATCGCCTTCACAAAAGAATGCTGACCAAAAAAAAAAAAAGTAGTAGAAAGAAGAAGGCAAAAAGTTGAAGCACAGACGAAAACTGTGAAGTTTTTTTTTCCATAAACCGTTGAGCGGGGCAAAATTGGTAAGACCAAAAGTCAAGTCGAGAAGAAAATTGCAGCATTAACAAACAAGTTCAAGTTAATAAGTCAGCAAGTTTATTTAAACACAGAGCTTACCATTATTTATATACATACATAAATAAATAATTGTTGTGTGTGTGTGTGTGTGCGTTTTTGATACAACTTTCGCTGATATAAGCAAAAAGTTGGTAACAAATTTTTGCTAGCTCTATGAGCGTATATAATAATATTAACCATTTCATTTGACACCCTTAACGGAAACAGCAGCAACAGCAACAACAACAACAACAGCCAAGAAAGAACAGTTAACAAATGCATGCATATAACGAGGCATGTGTATGTGTATGTGTGTCTGCGCGCGTTTGAGGTTATGTTGAGTTTTCTAACGGCTTAGTGCAGCGCGCCGCTATTTTAAATGCATACGAGAACCCACAAAACTGAAAAACGTGCTTGGCAACAGTGGCTCAAGAGACGGTTTGTTCAGCATATTTGAATAACTAGTTCGAGCTGTGTATGTGCTCTGTGTGTGTGCACGATACTTTCAATATGGCATAAAATTCAACTTTATATATGTAAATATATATA